CTTAGTTGCAGCCTCCTCCTGTCTCTCAAGAGAAGTCACAGCTGCCTTAGGTCCTTGGAGGTCTCTCTGCTGATGTTCTGCTCTGATACCTGGATCTTGATATGGACAACTTGTTGTGGATTCTCCAGCCATTTAACAATGCACTCTGCAATTTGTTTGGAGGTTACGGCATAGGTCCTTATGAATCCTCTGGGCCACTGTGGAGCAGGTCTGGTTTCACCCGAATAACACACCGAGACTGGTGTGCCTGCAGATTCTGCTGGAGCAGCATGGAGAGGTCCTTGATGTCATTTTGGTCTGCGGTGCCCAACACCAGGGAGGACACCTCCTGCAGTAAGCAGCGCCAGTGTTCATGATCCCACAGGAATACCTCCTGTGGGGGGCCCACGCTCTTCAGCAGCTTTTCTGGCTCACTCTTCTGCTCCATTGAGTTATTCGACCCACCCGAACCCACGGGACTCGTGGCTTAACCGCGGGTTACAGGTCAATCCGCACATTACTACCCAGTGTCAGAAAGAATAGGTTTGGGGAACAGTTGGGTCAATAATCACTGTCGTTCTCTTTGATGACTAACCCAGGACATTCGTTCAGATTCAGTGTAGACGTTATAGGTACGCACAGTGCGTCCAGGTGCCCCTGCAGGCACCACTGGTAATCCAGTTGTCAAAAAATAACTATGTAAGTAATTATGTTACCGGTTAATGAAAGTAACTAATTACCTGATAAAGTCATCAAAAGTTCTCAAAAACACACCCATTGCAGTTTTTACAGTAAAAAAATGTGCTCTATTCAGCTTTATTTCATATGCAAACACAGTGATATCAGGACATTACAAACTTGTGCATCTGATTGGTCACATTTATAATCACTCTAGGTCTCTAATACCTCGTCTTGGTCTTGTTTACCTCCCAAAACAAAGGAAAAACTTTGCAGTTCCTCTGAATGAGACGAGAGCTCAGTCTGATCTGTCAGCGCTGCTTAGATGCACAGTCAAATAACCAGCGTGTCCCACTGACAGTAATTCTAAGTGTGTTTCTGCAGTGGGAAGGCTCATTAGTTCGATTACTTGTTACTGGTAAAAGTAACGCCCTTAGTAAACCATACTACTAAATAAACAGCCTCTTTCTAACTCTTCAGCTACTTGAATTCTTTCACAGCAGATATTCATAGGACCAGAGAATATGACATAGATTTTGAAAAACATTCACAATCCATAATCCATTCCATCAGGTTCCACACTAATGTGTCTGGCCCCACATAAAGCTTATTGATTTCCTTATGTACTTTTATTGATTAGAAAATGCTATAATGGAACATACAAATTTTACCATTCCATATGATGAGTCAGGTTGGTAAGTCTGTGCTACAGTGACACGGGAAGGAAAAAGAGAGAACTGAGTATAATATTTAGAAAAGACGAAAGAAAGGGAGGTTGTGAGCAGATAGAGAAACAATAGAAAAGGGGAGGTGGGGAGAAATAGAAGAAAGGAATAAGATGAGAGAGAGGCACTCAAAATTATTACAGAACTGTGAAAATTGCAAAAATCTGGTAGTAAACAAGAATGGACATGCCACTGACCAGTATCAGCAATTAGAACTGGATGAGCTCTAAGTCTGAAAGACGACTCAGTAGTGCCACCTCAAACTCTGACTTTCATGGGGCCTGTGGGAGCTCGACCAGAAAAAAAATCTACGTAAAAATCGAACGTATAAGGACATGACAAAAATGATATTATGGCCTCGCACTAAACCCAACAGGAAGTCGGCCATAATGGATCAAACTCAGGAATGACAAAAGCACACACAGGTGTACTCAGAACATTTTACACAGTTTTCATCACAAACACTTGAAATCTGGCCAAAAGACACAAAACCCATCTGCAATTACAGATTACCAATTACATTTTGAATATGAATTTGGGTGTGGTTTTTAACAAAATTACAGTTTTGGAAAATAAAAACAAATATATTTTTCTCACACAGATAAACAACTAAGTTGAGGTGGTGTATAACTACTGCTATGATGTAACTGATGTGCTGCTATACAGTTATGGATGTACTGCTATATTTTATTATTGTACTATTAGAATTCACTACACTATAAGCCAGAAAACAGGGACTAGATTATGGCTGAGGGATGCAGAGATCAGTTCATGTAAAAGATATTCTATTTCTATCTATATGTCTAATCAATAAAATAAATAGGGCAAGGACTTATTGATAGGGATATGCTGACTCACGACTCATCACCCTGATCAGACCAGCAAGACACTCCCGTAAGGGGAGTGAGATGAATCCGGGGGATCCTTGTCACAATCGAATAAGATTGTGCAACATACCAAGAGGCCTGGCTGACCTGTGCACCAACGAAGAGGCACTAATTCTAAACCATGGTCGCCTCCCACTATAGTTTGCGTATTAAAATCATTGTATAGGCGTAAATATTCAGTCTCTGCTTGGGAATGTCAGCACAGACTCCTTGTACAAGTATGACTTTTCTATTATCGGAATAAGTAAATTATCTGGACTTTATTTCTGTTTCAAGTGTAATTTTTTTGTCTAAGCAGAAACTAACAAACACGTGAGGAAAAGGGGTTATTTTCCTCAACCCTATCTAAAAAAAAATGTCTCTCTAGCTCCATCTTAAAATTGCATTTGTAAAAAAAAAAAATTAAAATCATTCAGGGCAATTTGTGAAAAAAAAAAAAAAAGGGGCCTAACTTGTGATGGGCCAGTATGCCGGTCACATGACTGCAGGCATGACAGTGTCAGTGGATTGAACGGAGCTGATTTTGGGGAAGGGGCGATGTGGACGGGGACGAGAGAGAGCTCTTTAGGGCCAGCGAGTGCCTTTAACACCGCGTGCGACTTTAATTAATTTTGTTTTTGCAGAGATAAGTAGAGTGTTTTTATTTGTAGCTTCACCACAAACAGTGTTATCTTTGCTAATGGTTATTTTGTGAACACTGCACTGATTAGATTTAATGAGGAGAAGGGCCCAGTCTGACACAGTGAAACTCTCAAGAATTCCAGAGAGAGGGAGGGGGGAGAAACAGCGAGAGAGACAAAGAGAGAGACAGAGAGAAAGACAAAAAGAAAGCGAGCAAGATAGAGAGAGAACCAATAGAAGGTAAGAAAATCAAACAGTCATTAGTCAAAAACAGTCACTGAGTTAGAGAGGGTATAACAAGAGGAACTGAGGAGAAAGAAAAACAATAGAAAAGAGGAGATGGGGAGACAGAGAGAGAGAAAAGAAGGGAAGGGAACGAGAGGAAGAGGATAGGGAGCGATCAGTCTCTTTTCCTAATTGGCAGCATTGTCGCAGTCCTCACAGAGAAACTCGATTCAGAGGACAAATGACAAAGGCAAATTCGCTTCTACAAAAAAAACACAGGAGACGAGCTGAGAGGGAGACAAGATGGAGGCTACAGACAGACGAGATTCTTCCTCGTTTGAGCCATAATATAACTGCACGCGTCATATAAATCAGAACAATGCATTCTAAATCTAAAAGCTGCACGACATAACTTTTGTGAATGAGGGGATATCAACATAATGAAGTTTTTGGAGCTTTTGTACCATTTTAAAACATCGTTCCCTCGTCAAAAACATGCCTAGAGAGCTTTTAGATGTCATCCATGCATGTTTGAGTAATCTAGCGATCTCTCTCGGGGCCTATTCTTAGACTTGGACAAACTTTATTAATCCACAAAGGAAATTATTTGGACGCAGTAACCCACACATCACAATGTAATATAATAATAATAAGTTCCATAAAGGTGAGTTGTTGTACAGTTGTAGGGAGTATTATCTGTCCCTCTACAGAGGCTTTGCACCGTCACGTGACCCCTATACCTACGTCGCCATGACATCGGGCACGCTATGCCATTGACTTCAGCAGCATCGGAGAAACATGGTCTGGTTTTGTTGTGTATTTGGTTGTTCTAGACGCTCTGAAAGGGATAAAACGAATCGTTTCTTCACTGTTCCTCTGGAAATTACTCATCAGGAGCTTAAACAAGGAAATTATTGAAAAAAGACACAGATTATGGCTAGCAAAAATAAACGGTGAAGAGATTTCCTATGGTACCATCAAGACACACTCACGTCACTTTCATCAAGGTATTTGCTATTTAAATTGTTTCATAGTTTATTTAATGAGAGAAGCACATTTACTGAACTAAAATTTCATTAATTTATCCAGGAAAACCCACACTAGTTTACGATCCAACGAAGCCACATTGGGCTCCTATGATCAACATGGTGCACGAGTCGAAGAGTCTGTGAGCTGAACCTCGAAAGAATCAGCCATGAAAAGATCCTTGTGAACGTTAGAAAGATCCACTCACAAAAAGCGATTCATTCTAGAAGACATAGTTGTGGATAAGCAAGGCAGTAAAGAAAACATCGGTCGTACGACGAGTGACATGTTTATAAGTGCGCTGGAAGATACAGTTTGTACTGCCACTCACACTGCAAATGTTTTCTTTTTACATTTTAGTTCAGTAAATGTGCTTCTCTCATTAAATAAGCTATGAAACAATTTAAAAAGCAAATACCTTGATGAAAGTGACGTGAGTGTGTCTTGATGATACCATAGGAATCTCTTTGTGGTTTATATTCTCTAGCCATAATTCCCGTTTTTTTTTTTTTTCGATAATTCCCTTGTTTGAGCCCCTGATGAGTAATTTCCAGAGGAACAGTGAAGAAACGAATAGTTTTATCCCTTTCAGAGCGTCTAGAACAACCAAATACACAGCAAAACCTGCCCATGTTTCTCCGATGTTACTGAAGTCAATGACATAGCGTGCCCGGTGTCATGGCGGCATAGGTACCATTGCTAAGGGTCACGTGACGGTGCAAAGCCTCTATAGTCTGGTGCAGTGGGTGAGTTGTTGTACAGTTGTGGGGAGTATTATCTGTCCCTCTATAGTCTGTGCGGTGGGTGGGTTAATAATAAATAGTTTGTCTGAATAAAAAGGCAAAAACACAACTCCAGGTATGTTTTGGAAGAGGTAACAACTTTATAAAATGACTTAAAGCTTCACAAGAGTAAATTTTATGTAATATAGGACCTTTTAACTCTTAATATTTGTATTTATTTGAAAACTCTACAGAAAATTGAATCGGAAATGTCCTTTTGGAACCAGACTTCAGGCTGTTGTGCTCCATACATGTTTAAATAGGAAAGGGTAAGTGGTTACTGTATTTTTCGGACTATAAGTGGCACTTTTTTCATGGTTTGGGTGTTTCCTGTGACTTATACTCTGGTGCGACTTATATATTAAAATTTTCACACTGACAACCACGAGAGGCTCTAGTCTTGTGTGTTAGTGTCTGCTGCTACTGTACCACTGTTACTTCGCACTCTACTGCGCATGTCTCCTACAGAAAAAGCCGTTATCCTGCTGCAAGTGAAATCTGCGGCCGAAAACAGTAATCGAGCAGCAGAAAGAAAGTTTGGAGTGAGCGAGAAACTTTTGAGGGACTGGCGAAAAGTGGGGATGGAGAACACTGGTTCACAGGAACCGGGAGGGTGAGCTATGAAACTTTCCTGAAGTCACTGGATGGATGGACAAAGGCTGGACTTCAGTGACACCAAAACCATCCTGTCAGGATTCAGAAAGACCGGAATAATTCTAACTGGAACTGATGCTGAGTCTGACGACAGCGACACAGAAGAGGAAGCGGCGCTCTGTTTACCTCTGGAGTTGCTCAGAAGTGACACCGAGGATGAAGAATTGAATGGATTTAGTGATTTGGAGTGAGATGGAGAGTTTGGTAAAATAGTTCTGTTCTGTTGTTTATGTTATAGTTTATCTGAAGAACTGTTCATATGTGATGTTAACAGTCTGTTGTTCTCTCTTCTATTGTTATTACTAGAACTTGACTTTCAAGATGAAATGTTGTTCCTGGTCTCTGATTTTATAAAATGCATTTCCCCAAAAAGTGCAACTTATAGTCCAGTGCTACTAATATATGTATTTTTCTTCTTCATTATGTATTTTTTGGCTGGTGCGACTTATAGTCTGAAAAATATGGGTAGTTGGCTGGCTGGGCTGGGGTTGTAGAGGGTAGGACCAGTTAGAGGACACTGTGGTTTTCTAGGCCATCCCTCTGACCGTCTCCAGATGCAGGTTGAGTTGCTCTGTGTTTTTTCTGGCCGTGACGAGCTGTTTCTCACACCACAGAACCAGAGCCTGCTGCAGCATCTGCACACGGGCCTGTTTGAAGTGTTTAATCTGGAAAAATATAAAGCGCAGAGTCAAATAGGTTATGCTCACATGACATTACATCCTAGAATCCCTATTGATACTTAAAAAATTTTTTCTTTGTTAAATGTTTATGTTTGGAGTGTCTGACAAGTATGACTATGTTGTGCTTTCTACATTTTTTTTTAAAGTGTTAAAATAAAGTAACTCTACATCAGGGGTGTAGTGGGTGTGGTACACGGGGGTACACCGTCCACCTACTTCTCCCGATGTGAGATATAAAAAAATAACAAATATAAAATAGCTACAACTTAAATGTCAAAGCGGAGCTACTGGCAACGGTGAAAGCAACCTGTATAAGCTCATGAAATCTGCAATACTGTTCTATAGAGACCTAAACCAGGACGGAACAGGACTGAGTGTCAGGATGGGCCCAGAGGTGCGCCCGCGTAGACCATCGGGTGACCGGGACAGGACAAAGGACTATCGCAGAGCTCTGCGCCCCACGGGGATCAGCACAGCCGTGACCCGATGGCGCTTTGCAGACACCCTGCTCCACTGTCTCAGGGTTTTCCCTCTTCCTCTCAAGACCTGGTTTAGACCTGGTTTAGACCTGGTTTAGTCCTGGTTTAGTCCTGGTTTAGTCCTGGTTCTGTCCTGGTTCTGTCCTGGTTCAGTCATGAATCACGTACCCCACTAAAAAAAACACTCCACCACTGCTGTACATGTATCACTATTGAAGCCTCAGGTTCCTGTCTAAATGCAACAATAATTCAAAATTTTCTTTAGTGTATAACAGGTTGGTCACAGGCTTGTAAATCAGCCCTGGAGCCTCTAGAATCGTGATATAAAAGCGCTCTCAAAAATTCTTTAGAATTTTAAAAATCTGGTCACCGTATATCGACGTGAAACAAAAATTCTCTGTCCGAATAAAGAAACATAATAGATATAGTACATTTCACATCCTTAGAACATGATTGTTGTCATTCGAAAAGATTTTAAGCCATAAGAAGAATATGGAAAGTTTGTAGATCTTAATTCCAAAACATAATGATAAGGTTCAAGATTTATGGATGAGTTATATAAGTTAAATAAGCCTCTGCCCTCCATCTAAAATTCTAACATCAAATTCTAATCAAATATCAGTAAATTTGTGTAGGACGAGAGCTCACCTCCTGTTTAGCCATCACACTGATCTGATTAAACTCTCCCTCTGTAGTTTTCTTCACCTCCTCCATCTGATCAAAGACAAAATTAACATCATTATAATATTTTAAAAGGTGCATTATGTCATTGTTCTGGTGCTAAGATGTGGTTGTTCCACATTGTGGCATTAAACTTAGGCCTATTCATTTTCAAGGAGATGCCAACAGGGCAATTTATAGGTCAGATCTGTAAGATGCACGATAGATATGTTTAATGCCATACTGTGGAACATTTCAGACAAAGCAATAACATCACATTTAAAGAGGCAAGAATGCATTTCACAAATAAACAAACAAACAAACAAACAAAAACAGTATGCTTATTGTGGAGTGTTTGCTTAAGTGTAAAAGGGATATGAAAATTCATGTCTGGTCCTGGTCTGGTCCAGGTCTCAGTCTCATTCTTGGCCTCAGTCGTGGTCTCACTCCCGGTCCTGGTCCCGGTCTCAGTCCCCGGTCTAGTCTCCATCTCAGTCCCCGGTCTGGTCCTGGTCTTGGTCATGGTCCCGGTCTCAGTCCTAGTCTGGTCCTAATCCCGGTGTCAGTCCCGGTGTCAGTCCCGGTGTCAGTCCCGGTGTCAGTCCCGGTGTCAGTCCCGGTGTCAGTCCCGGTCTCAGTCCCGGTCTCAGTCCCGGTCTCAGTCCCGGTCTCAGTCCCGGTCTCAGTCCCGGTCTCAGTCCCGGTCTCAGTCCCGGTCCAGTCCCGGTCTCAGTCCCGGTCTCAGTCCCGGTCCTAGTCCAGTCCGTCCCGACAGTTTACGCAGGTGCACTTCCGGGCCCGTACCAACACTCAGTCCTGGTTCAGTCCTGGTTCAGTCCGGGTTCAGTCCGGGTTCAGTCCATGTTCAGTCCGTATGCGGCGCAAAAGACCGGCACGTCCATTATCCGTTTTTTCCATTCTTCATTTAAACACAAAATCGAAAACTGAAAAAACAAATCATTATCCGTTTTTTTCATTTTGGTTTTGGAGACAAATAATGAAGAAAATAGTTGTTTTTTAATTTTCTTACTTTTGGTTTTATTTTGAAAAACGAATGAATGAATGATACATGGATTTATGAACAATGCATGGTCATTTTGTGGACTTAAAAACCATAACAAAACACCGTATAATCAGCTTTGTAGCTTCATTTAGTGAACTTGCTTTGCCCACAGTACAGTCACAATTAATAAAATGAACTGACATTTAAAGGTGCACTGTGTAACTTTATGGTGGAAGGTCCGCCACTTCTTTGTTTCTGTGGATATGTCATTTTTCTGCCTGGAATGTTCCACAGTTTAACGTTAAAGAGCTCCACTTTACATTTATTCAGTTACAGGTGGTTTTATAGCTCAAAAATACCAAGAAAAACTGATATTCTGACTGAGCGAGTTCGCCCCCCACAGATCTGACCTGTAATTTGGTGTGGTTCGGTCTACATTACACAATGCACCTTTAAAATGTATTTATTTATAAAAAATATTTATATATATTTTTAAAGCAAGATATGGCATATAAATTGTCTGTAAAGTTGTTTAAATTTAAATAAATTCAATACTAACTGCAACTGTCCTTTTTTGTTTTACTTATTAGTCAATTCCTTTGTTCAAAAACAGTAGCTTTAGTTTAAGTTGTGCAATTCTGCCTTCTGCTGGATGAATGTAGGTATTACACAAAAATGAATCCTTGAGATATTCTGTGTATTTGTGTATTTACCACAGGTTTCTTCACGGGCTTGGCCTTCTCTGCGTTCCTTTTGGCCGTTTCTAACTCCACCAGTTTGCACGTTCTACGGAAGAGCATTTCCTGCAGGGGGCGCAAGAGTCGAAGGTCAGACACCAGCAAAAACAACAGTATCCTCGCCGTTTATTTTGATTTATACTAAAAAAATACTGAGCAGGTTTGGTGGAATAGTAGTGAAGAATTTTCTGGGAACATACGTCATAATTTACTTTTTCGTGAAGGTGTATGCAGTTTACCACATGACATCACAAGGTGGAACAGAGTGTTTTTTGTCTGAAATAAGAACTCAGCCTCAATATGTGTGTTAAAAATGTGCAACAAAACACATTTCTGGGTGTGTTTTGATGATGAAACATTATTACATAGAGTAGAAAATAGTGTCATATAGGCCTTTTACAGTTTTACAATCAGCATTTTTGAATCAATAAACATTTACAGAGTTAGAAAACAGTTCAGACAGTTTTATATTTAGTTGTGTAAAGAAACATAAATGTATAAGAGGTAGAGTTCTGCACCAGGTTCGGGCAAATAGTTGCTGAAATGGGCGGGTTTTAATGTTCTGGAATTTTACGGGCGGGTAGTAATTACACACGGGCTGGTCAGGACTGAACCACCTCTGAGAGTCCGAGCCCGTCCTGACAGTGAGTCCTGGTTCAGTCCTGGGTTAGTCCTGGGTTAGTCCTGGGTTCAGTCCTGGTTCAGTCCTGGTTCCTGGGTTAGTTCCTGGGTTAGTCCTGGTTCAGTCCTGGGTTAGTCCTGGTTCAGTCCTGGGTTCAGTTCCTGGTTCAGTCCTGGGTTAGTCCTGGGTTAGTCCTGGTTTTAGTCCTGGTTTTAGTCCTGGTTCAGTCCTGGTTCAGTCCTGGTTTAGTCCTGTTTTAGTCCTGGTTTAGTCCTGGTTTAGTCCTGGATTAGTCCTGGTCCAGTCCTGGGTTAGTCCTGGTTCAATCCTGTTTCAGTTCTGGTTCAGTCCTGGGTTAGTCCTGTTTTAGTCTTGGGTTAGTCCTGGTTTAGTCCGTGGCGTGTTTCTTCTGCTCAGTAAATAAAGCCTGTGAAGTGATGACAGTGGACTCGTGTCTGTGAATTCTTGAAGTTGTAACTTTTCATTTCGTATTCTGATGGAAGCTTCAGTGAGAATGCTTTTAGGATGGAGGGTAAAGGGTGGAACGTTAACAGGTCCGGGCGGGTGCGGGTTTAACTTTAATAAAATCACGGGTTAACAGGTGGGTGCGGTGCTGTACTGCGCAAGTGCAGCCGGTCTGCAAAAATTCACCGGTGCAGGACTCTGATGAGAGGTTAGCTTTTATCAATACACATTACTTCTATTAACTGTCCCAAACGTAATGTATTTCCTGATGTAAATACTGTATATTCTGTGTACCTTTTCAGCTTCTTGGTATCGAGACTCCAGGTCCAACCCCAGACCCAAAGTGTTCATGTTGTTTTCTGCCACACTCCCCATGTGCTTCTGCAACACACACATTTTCATTTGTTTATTGCAGGTGTAAAGATGCACTATGTAACCTTTTGGTTGGGGGTCCGTCACCTGCTTGTTTCTATGGAGATGTCATTTAAAAACCATAACAAAATAATTTATGATCAGTTTGTAGCTTCATTTAGTGGACTTGTTTTGCCCACAGTACAGTCACAATGAAGAAAATGCAAACTCTGATCCATACATAGCATTGACATTTAAGGTGCACTGTGTAACGTTTTAGTTTCTATGGATATTCACTGCTTAACCTGGAATGTTCCACAGTGTGACATTAAACAGCTCTACTTTTTAGTTACTACTTTTATTCAGTTACAGGTGGTTTTGTAGCTCAAAAATACCCAAAAAAACAGGCATTTTTCTGTGAGCGGGTTCACCTCTCCACAGATCTGACCTGTAGCTTGGTCTGGTTTGGTCTCCATGAAGATAGAAAGGTTTAATGTTCATACTGTGAAACATTCGAGACAAAGCTATAACATCCCTACAGAAAAAAAGCGTTTAACAGACCCTCCACCAGAAAAGTTACAAAATTCACCTTTATTTTGTTTTAACTCACTGTAAAAGAAAAACAACTTTTAACAATTATGCCACTTTGGCAGTATACAGTATGTGCCTTATGTGCACTGTGCAATTTTTCTGGTAGAGGGTCTGCCACTTGCTTGTCTCCATGGAGATAGCTTAGAATGTTCCACAGTATGTAATTATCGTGATATATCAATGTTTCGATATCATTTAATGTGATGATATAGTATAGATATCATGGACTGCTGTATCGATATATTGCAAAGAGTATTTTTTTGGTATATTTTACTAAATTATTTTGTTACAGAGCTACAGTTTTGTTGTTTGTTTAGAGGAAGGAAACTCGTTTATGCGACACATTTGATATTTTCACTGTTTGATGATTAAAATGTTTATGTTTCATATGAACTTTGCACAAGAAATGCAAGAAGACTTTTCTCATGATTAAAATGACACATACCCCCATAGAGCTGAAGACTTCAGACAGATTTTTACAAACCCTGAAAGCACAAAGTTCACAGCGTCACATGTTGTTTTTTATATTCTTTTTAAACTCATAAAAATATGTGAGTCATGTGAGTGGCCTGTAGCCTGCATGTGTGTGTGACCTGGAGAAAGCTTGTTTATCCGGGTCTTCTTCTGACTCCACACACATCTGCAGCGCCGCCGAGAAGTGTCCCACAGGCTACAGAGATTTCTACACACAAAAAAAAACAATTAGTAACATACGAAAAATACAGCAAACAATAAAATAAATAAATACTCTAGAACTGGGAAATTTGTACTTACTTTGTTCCGTTTGCACCACATCAAGGAATTTCTATAAGACAAATTGATGATAAACGACTGTATTTTTATAATAGCATTTCTTTTGTTTTCATTATATTTTTTTATAATAATAAAACAATAATAATAATAAAAACAGTTGATAATATAATATAATTTGTATAATTTACAATGATCTTATCTCAACTCTTTTGATTTAAAATGTCTCAGATACAATCCATAGACACATATATGTAGATTTTGAATATAGTTTGACACATTGTAGGATCATACACAGCTCACCTCTGCTACAAGTTTGGTGGAGTTGGTCAAAGTGTGGTTCAAGTCTCGCTCGTTTTGGAAAAACTCCTCCACATCCTGAAAAGAAAAGCTCAAATATCAACACATACACGGCGCCTGTCAACTGGTCAAAGTTATTCTGGATCCTTGTGGAAGACAATAGACTGTGAAAGACCCGAGAAAGAGTTGTTTTAACCTAAAATTTTTATCTCATGAAGCTAAGGATTCACTCACACCCACACCAGTCATAGTTTTAGCCCAGTTTAGTCCTGATGTAGACTTGGTTTAGTCCTTTTCTAGTCCAGGTTTAGTCCAGGTGTGGTGTAGTACCAGTTTTAATGACTTTCTACAGCATATAACATGCTTTAGAGTAGGGATGGGCATGATTAGTCGATTAATCGATAATTGATCATTAAGAATTTCATCGATTACGTTCATTTTTAATCGACAAACCAAATGTAGGTTGCTGTGCGTAGCGTAGGCTGACCAAACGTTCATGTCCAGGGACAAATGGGGGTCTGGACATGTAGCTCTCTGCACTCAGAAGGAGCGAGCAGACACAGTCGGTCAGTCTGCAACGTGCTGAAGCACAAATGCATATTTAGCAATGACTTGTACAAGAAATTCCACGCTTTCTGTTCCAGTTGGGACAAGTGGGAGGCCATGTGCACAGTGTACAAAGCAGCACATATATTTCATGTCCAGTGGGAAAAAGCTCATCAGGACACCGAAAACATGAAGTTTTGCTAGGTGAGAGTCGCTCAATGTCGATGACGAGTCCCCCACCTCCCCCCCCCCCGTACGGTGTCCTGGGTTTGACAAACGCAAATATGGTCACACTAACCTGTATTCCACTGAGTCGTGTCCTTTAGTCCAACAGAAGTTGAACTGCATCAGCACACGAGCTGTTTTTCTTTGCTTAGTTTATGCAAATTAGCCATGAGGTTTTAAGTTTGGTTTCTGTGAGAGTTGCGCAAAGCTGCATTAAATAGGCTGATGTGGCTCTAGAGTGGTTATGTTTATATGTCGTCAAGTTGAATTTATTTATGCAGATTAGTAGTGCACATAGTAATAATAATGATGATAATTTCAATATAAAAACGCTAATGATTAATCGATAATCGATCGTTAATTCTCCCGAAGATCAATTAAGAAAATTTTATCTAATTCCCATCCCTACTTTAGAGCCAGTGTGTCCTTGTGAAGAATGTGCCACTTACTTTGTGTCCCTCTTTCCTCATCTCCTCCACAGCTTGGCTCAGACGGTTAAATATGTTCTTCTTGGTCTTCTGTCGACCCGGAGGCTAAAATACACAGAATGAATGAATAAATTAAAAAAATCAAAGCATTAAATTACATACAATTGGAATCTGCATTGGCTTCTGTTAATATATGTGCTCTTTAAATGAAAATATGAGTTGAAGCGTGGTCTCTCACCTCTGTGCTGGTGAGGAAATCCTCCACTGCCTTGTTTTTGCTCAGGACGCTGTGAGACGCCACCTGCTGGAGAAAGCGTTCCAGTGCAGCACCGTAGGGTTTCCAGTCTCCCAAAGCCAGAATCCCTGCACAGTGAGCAGAACAATTATCATGTAGAAAGTGTGTTTACAATGGGAGATTCAACATGATCTTACCAAGCTGTTTGAGGACTTTAGCTGAACCATTCACCTGAGCTTTGGCTGGAAGAGGAGGGAACTTAAGAAAAAAAATATATATATATTATATTATTATTAACATTATTGCACTTTCATTTTTTTTTTATTACAGTATACTTTGCTAGAAAAAAGTAAATATTTCACAATACACCTTCACTTCAGTTTCATTATGTTAAGTTTTGCACTAACGTATGCAAATTTTGAGTCATCCAGGGATAAGATATTGAGTCAAACTAAATCAACTGGACTTTGAAACCAACCTACCTTTGTTATTAAACATTCAGCTTTATCAGGGCTTGTGTTGATTTCTCTCACTAGATGTAGCTCTATCACACCTGGGTTTTTGGGTGACACCACTGAAACGTCACCACCCACATCTAGCGGGAGTCACAGTCACCAACACAAGCCCTGATGAAGCAGTCTGGCTGGTAGAGAAGAGTCTGTTTCAAAGCCAAGTCTCCAGTTGGTTTGTTTAACTCGCTGATCATTTTAGCACTGCATTTTCCTCAAGTATACACTGCAATCATCTGTGAAACTAGAGGCTATTGTCTTTAGCCTAATTTAAACTGCTTCACTCCAAAGTGCACCAGCAGCAGAGGCCCCTGTTTAGCATTTGTGGTTTGCCAAAGATGTTCATTTTGTCTTCTTATATACTTTAACTTCTTGGATTCTTTTTAACCCTTACATACTATTCAGGTTAATTTTGACCAGTTTTGACATTCAAAAGTAGTAAAAATACACTAAACATCATTCTTTGATCCTGAAATTTGATGACTTTTCCTAAATTTTGCCAAATACACAAAAATGAAAATATTTTAAAATGTTATACTTTAATATACCACTGCTTTGAATGCACTGACTAGTTTGAAATAAGCATAACGGCTGCAGTGGATAAAAATGGTTATATTATAAATTCCAACAATTCCAGAATATTCATGTCAGTTTCAAATGCAATAAATATTGTCATCATATTGGCTTTTATGTTTTTATGTGTTTTGTAAAACAGGACATGATACTGTGTGATAGCAGATGTTTTTCTCAAAAAACAAGTGCTGTAAAACTTACAAAAATATGCTCTTCCTGCTCTGAAACATTATATTTATATATTACAGATATTTATTCATGTGGGACAGTCTATTTATTTGGTATAGACACTTACTGTAAGGGAATTCATGGTCTGGGCCAAATTTGACCTGGACCATACTGTGAAAGCTTAAGAAATGAACAGTATGTAAGGGTTAAAGACAATATATGTTTCGGCTGCTGCTGCTGGAAGACATCTTCAGAACTGTCCCCGGTGCTGGTGGTAACGTGTTGTATATCAGCTGTTGTTACGTCACCAGCAGCACCAGTGACAGTTCTGAAGATGGCTTCCAGCAGCAGCCGAAACATGTCAACAAGGTAAATACACTTTACTTTGTCTTTAAAAAGAACCTCTGGCAATATAGTTCACCCACATTGTCTAGTATGCTGTATTTTCTGGGCTATTAGGCGCTTTAGATTATAAAGTGCACTGTCATTAAATGGTCTATTTTCCAACTTTTTTCACAAATAAACTGCACTGGACTTTAAATGAAACCCAACAGTTGGATGGGTCAGTGGGACTTTGTTTGTCACGTTCACGGTGACTCTGGGCTTTGTTCAGTTGTGGCGTGTAGGGAGGGTGCTGTCTGGGACCGCTGGATTGTTGGTGTGTTCGCAGTGACTCAGTTGTTCAGTTGTGTCTAGAAGTGGCACATTGCACTCGCTTTTTCGGTTCGTTCCTCCGTTCTGTTCCTCGTCGGCGTGGAGTGATGAGTGTGTCTGTGGGTGTTTTTCGCTGCACGGCCGCTGTCTGCTCCGTGTGTGTTTGTGTGCAGCTTTGTAGTTTACTGAAGTCGTGTTGGGACACCTGAGTGGATTCGTGTATAGGAAGCTCTGGACTGGGTGCGCAATCATTTTTTGATGGGGCTGGAGGCTTAACAGCGCGTCTAATAGCCCGGAAAATACAGTAAATGTGCTGTATGTGGTGATGGTGGTGGAGTTGTGCTGCATAAATCCAATGCATTATTATTATTTGTCCTACAACAGATCTAGTTTGTTTTGGTATAGCCCTAGTTTAGACCTGGATTAGACCTGGTAGCATTCGGAAAGTTAAATCTTTTTCATACTAGTTAGGAAAGTTGGAGTACTTTATATACTTATACTGGCATAGTTGTACTCACTATGACTCCCTGTATCCCGGGCACGTCCTCCTGACAGAACAGGTGCTGCTGGAGCCAGTCGAAGTCGTCATATGTGCGAGCGACATGGTACTCCCCTGTCCCAGAGAGCTGCGCACAAAACAACATCATACTATACTGTACCATCGCCACTGTACTGTTAAATATTAGGCAAGTGTTTGACTTCCACACATTTTTGACATACGACAGAGGGGCCCCTCCTTTTGAATGTTTGATGTTGTTTGTCATGGCCGTAAGAGGCACCAGGCCACTCTAACCCAGTTACAAAGCCCTACCATTATGACAAAGTTATTATGAGTCTATAGAAAATATATAAGATCATATATTCTAAAAGTAAATAAAAATCTGTCTTCCAATTAGTCCAAGACAGTTCAGCTTAATTTTCAATCTAGGCAGTTACAAAATGATGTATAAACTTATGTCTGTGTGTCGTGTTACGTACCTTCTGTGATATGATTATGAATGTGAGGTTGTCTCCCTCTTTCACCACCTCGCTCACTTTGATACCGTCAGCGTGGACACTCAGGACAGACCCCTCCTTCACTTCTTCCTGGTAAAACAACATACAAACTTGTCTTTAGATATTAGAGAACCGATACTCAAAATAATTCTATATGAAAACTCGGCCCAGATTCTGATGTTGTGTCACTGTGGCATTAGGCAAGACACTTCACCCGCCTTGTCTATGTCAGCAGTCACCTCCAGTCTCTCTCTAAAACCTTCAAATCAGGCAAGAAATCCAGGAGTAATAATGGACTCAGACTTGAAGTTTAACAGCCTCATCAGATTAATAACATATTCAGCCTTTTACATCTAAAATACTGCAAAAATAAAAGGTTTACTGTCTAAAGCAGACTTGGAGAGACTTATCCATGCGTTTGTCTCCAGTAGATTAGACTACTGTAGTGACCTGCACACTGTCCTCTCCAAAAGAGCTCTGAGACGCTGAAGAACATCCAGAAAGCTGCAGCTCGGGTCCTGACTCGAACCAGGAAGTCTGAGCACTTGCGTCCTGGTCTCAGGTCTCTACACTGCCCCCTGTGGCTCAGAGAATGGACTTTAAAGTGGCTCTGCTTGTCTCTCCATGGCCTTGCACCAAAGTAGTGTCAATTGAACCATCTACACTGTGAGGAGCTCAGGGACCGGTCTTCTGCTGGTGCCCAGAGGCACGACTAAACACGGGGAGTCAGAGTTTCAGACTCATGCAGCTAAAAACTGAAACAGTTTAAACATGTGAGACAGACTCTACTTTGACTGTTTAAATCCAGCCTCAAAACACTTCTGTTTAGCTGCATATGATTGAAAGATTTTCATTTTTCATTCTGCACTCTTCTCTCTCATTTAATGTCTCTCTTTTTTAAATTTTCAGATGATTATTTATGTTTTGATTTGTTTGTATTGTGATTTCAATGCATTTCTTATTCTGTAAAGGACTTCGAATTACTTTGTGTACTATACAAATAAACTTACTTTGCCTTGTCTGTACTGTAGTATGACTGTGGGTATGTGTGTAAATGTTGGTAGTTGTCAGAGGGACTGATGAGGCAGCAAAGTGCTTCGTGAATGACTAATGCACTGTAGACAACTTTGGGTGTCTTAAAATGCACTAGATAAACCCAATGCATTATTATTTAGTGTGATATAAGAAACTGCAATTTAAATATATTCATTTCATTATTTTTAAAAGGTTAAACTTACTAGGGTTTAGTCTGGTTACTCTACACAACTTAGAACTATATTTTCTTAACTAGAAAGAATGGACTTTTCATTTAAATGATCTTCCAGTGCTGGGGTGGACGTAGGGGTGGGGGTGAGGTGGGGTCAGGAAAAACAGTTCAGAGATAAACAATGGTTACATGGTTATCTGTTACATATTTCTGACAGGCCATTCAAAGTACACAAATCCACTCAAGTGATACATTACATTAGTTGGTACAGCCTTATTCCATTGTTGATCTCCATATGCCTGTTTATAGCCTTGTCTCTAACCCTGGTGTCGCACACAACAGTCACATGACCATAAACAGTCTGTTAGAATCATATTAGGATAAGCTTACCATCATTTTGCCAGTGCAAGTATCTCCTTTGTAAGTATTGTTGCTTCCCAAAACGTAGATCTGGTGGGTAAAACTTGTAGATCTTGTTGTTTTTGCAGCCGTAGACTTTGCAGTTTGCTGAATTAGCACAGGATTTCCTCTGGCCCTACGAGCGCACGGCCCCGAGCTCACCAAAAGTAGTAAAAGTTAGAGATGAAAAATGCTTGTGTAGGGAAAAGAGGCCAGAGTTAGTCAGTAACTCAGAGACACGCCCACAAAAGGAAACTGCAGTAACGGACCAGTGGGCACCAAGCCAGAAAAACTGCAGTACATTAAAAGTACACTCAGGATAACTGGAAGTCTGGAGGAGTTGCATATGACAGAGTTGAACTTAGGGTTAGTTGGAAGTATGATTAACAGTAAAAAGAGAAATTTAACGTAACTACAGCTACTACCACAGCTGCTACTACTATTACAAAAACTGCAGTATATGAAAAGTACACTCAGGATAACTGGAATTTTTGAGGAGTTACACATCACAGAGTTCAACGTAAGCTTAGGGTGAAGTACTTTTAACTGTAAAAAGAGAAGTTTAATATCTACAGCTACTACTACTACTACTACTACTACAACTACTACTATTACAAAAACTGTAGTACACTCAGGATAACTGGAATTTTGGAGGAGTTACATTATATCAGAGTTGAATGTAGGGTTAGTATGAAGTACTTTTACCAGTAAAAAGAGAAATTTGATATAACTACAGCTACTACTACAAATGCTACACAAAAACTGTAGTACATGTAAAATATAATCAGAATAAGTGGAATTTTGGAAGAGTAACATATGTAACAGTAAAAAGAGAAATGTAATATAACTACAGCTACTACTACTACAACAACTACTACTATTACAAAAACTGCAGTACATGAAAAGTACAATCAGAATAACTAGAGTTTTGGAGGAGTAGCGCATGACAGAGCTGAATGTAGGGTTAGGCTGAAGTACTTGTAACAGTAAAAAGAGAAATTTATTAATATATACAGCTACTACTACAACTGCTACTATTACAAAAACTGCAGTACATGAAAAGTACACTCAGGATAACTGGAAATCTGGAGTTACATTATGTCAGAGTTGAATGTAGGGTTAGTATGAAGAATTTTTACCAGTAAAAAGAGAAATTTGATATAGCTACAGCTACTACTGTTACAAAAACAGTAGTACATGAAAAGTAAACTCCGCATAACTGGAATTTTGGAAGAGTAACATAAGACAGAGCTCAAAGTAGTGCTAGACTGACTACTTGTACTACTGCTACTACTACTACCAGTACTACCACCATAGCTACAACCAGAGGTGGGACCAAGATGTTGTTTTGCAAGTTTCACGTAAGTCTCAAGTCATTCACCTCAAGTCCAAGTCGAGTCTCGAGTCACTGGCCCATAAATCCAAGTCAAGTCCACATCGTCTACTCTGAGCTTCAAGTCATTTCAAGTTTTTAAACCACAGAGCTTACATTTTTTAAGATAAATTGTACTTTAAAAAAATCATAGTATATTTATATATGAGCATTTATATAAGAGTTGTAGACATTAATTTAATTAATTTTTCCTTTTTATGTTGTGACAAGATCTCTGTGTGAATCATTACGGTCAGAACAGAAAGAATTCAGATTTAAAAGAGCTTCTCAAGTCTTCTCAAGTCACAGGCCTCAAGTCCAAGCGAAGTTCCAAGTCACTGACCTTCAAGTCCAAGTGGAGTCCCAAGTCTTAGTCCATTTTAATAAAGTCAAGTCTCAAAAAAAGTGACTCAAGTCCAAATCACAACTTGTAAGTCCTGACTCTGACTACAACTACTGCCACTACTATTACTACTTTGGGAGAGTCAAGGTACAGCAAAGAGAATAATCTAATACTACTGCTACTTGCTGATGCTGATGATCCCAGAGAACAAAACTGCAAAATTAAGTCAAATTAGACTTTATTATAACTTACAAATTTAAATCAACCAAAAACAATCAACAAACTAAACATTCTATTCTCTTAGCTGTACAAAAGTTTTAGAGTGAAGATGTTTCATGACTTCAGGCAGATAAGAACAATCTGACCAGATCTAAGGAAGCTGCTTGGATGAACTGCGGAACATCTATGGATCACACCTGGACAACAAAGCCTATACATGATTTAAAAGTAAATATCCTCTTCAAATTCTTCACTGTCTGAAAATGAAAACTCATGATTATGAAAATCAAATTGTTCAAAAACAACGTCGTTTGAAAAAGTCCACATGAATTCTGTATCCATCTCGAAAACATCTCCTTCAAAAAAGTGAAAAATATCGTTGAAATTTGGTTCCTCGTGACGGACACCGGAGGAGTTCTTCAAAAATGCTTCATGTCCCAAGCGGTCATACAACTTTCTTTCCTCGGAACTGGATAGCACTTTGTAAGCTGCAGGGAGGAGATGGGGAGAGAGGGAGAGAGCAGAGGAAAAAGAGAAAGGGGGTGTAAGGGAGAAAGGAAGAAAGAGGGAGAGGCATAGATAGGATAGGAGAAAGAAAACGAAGGCGAGAGGGGAGAAAGAGGGGAAGAGATGGAGAGAGAGTGGGGATGGTGATGTTGAGAGGAAAGGGTAGAAGGAGAAAGAAGGGAAGAAGGGAAGAGAGAAAGAATGTGTTAGAGAGGGGTGAGGAGCGGGAAGACGTGGGATGAAGAGAGAAAGGGCAGGGAGTGATGAACAGAGAAAGGAGCAGAGAGGGAGGAAGAGTGGCAGAGTTAAGAAGGAGAGAAGGAAAGCGTGGGAAACAAGAGAGGATGAGGAATGATAAGGGAGAGAAAGAGAAGGAAGGAAGAGACAGAATTAGTGAAGGAATAAGTACACAAATATAACTTTAAAATGAACTTCAGTAAGCCTCAGTAATACAAAAATGTATGTTTATGTTGAAATGTGTCTGACCGATTCTCTAATTTTGACTTAATTTGGTGGGATTGCAACTATTGGAAATATAAATTACAGTTTTACACCAATCAACAAGCAATTTGCAAAGAAATATTGAAAAATGTGCTGAAAATTGCAGGAAGTAGAGAGTTCTAAAACATACTGATGACATCACAGGGAGCATTGTGTGTTGAATGAAGCATTGTGTGCATATCAATATTACTTTGAATATTTGTGGTTCACGCCCAACTACTATCAGATCAGATATGAATTACTTTTTGTGGTCTGCTTTGGATATAATCTTACCTGTGCAGTTTATACTTTGTCCTTCTGTTAACATAACTTCATAGTAAACCATAGTAAACCAGTTCACCATTTATATTTTTGCTGTTTGTTATTATATTATATTATGATGTGTGAGCTACAGTGTCCAAGTAATTTCCCTTGTAGCTCAATAGTTTGTTTACGTCTATGTCTACGTCTAGGTAAAATAGAGTTACTTCAATTAGGCCTACTCTTGTAAAAATGTGTAAAAAATGTGTAAAAGAGTAAAAACTTGACTATTCTAACTTTACAAAACCTACAACAGGATTTTGTATTAACAGGCTGATATGCAAATCATGATTACGCAGTTAGAAATGTAGGCTATGCCAGGAATAATATCAGCCTACTTTGCAATTTTCAACACGTTATACCCTTAAAGGTGCACTATGTAACTTTTTAAATGCTTGTTTCTATGGTTATGTCATTGTTCTGCCTGGAATGTTCCACAGTATGACAAAAAACAGCTCTACTTTACATGAATTCAGGTGTAACAGGTGGTTTTATAGCCCAAATATATCTAGAAAAACAGGCATTCTGACTGTGAACGGAGTTGCCTCTCCACAGATCTGACCTGTAAATTGGTTTGTTTTGGTTTCCATGAAGATAGAAAGGTTTAATACCAACTGCGGTTGAATTGGTTTGATATTGGATATTGGAGTTTCGACACATTCAAAGACATTTAAATTGTGATGTACATCCACGATTCTTTTCAAACAACTTGTGACGTTTTCATAATCATCCAGGGTATATATCAAAAGACAGTAAGTATTAAAAAAATTATAATAATAAAAAAATTACCACTGACCACTGTTGATTTTTCTTTCCTTACCAAAGGGGTACCAACAATTTTGTCCACATCTGTACATCACAAGTTAATCACAAGTTGAATTCACAAATATGCACTAAATCAGCTCATAGTATGATTTTTAAAATAATTATCGTCTTGTGATATATACCCTGGATGATTATGAAAACGTCACAAGTTGTTTAAAAAAAAAAAATCTTTGATATATATTACAAGTTAAATGACTTTGAATGTGTCGAATATCCAGTATCCAATATCAAACCAATTCAACCGAGGTTTAATGCCATACTGTGAAAAATTCCAGATAAAGCGATAACATCTTCATGGAGAACAACATTTGACGGTCCCTCCAGCAGAAAAGTTACACAGTGCACCTTTACAGTACCTCCTTTCATATTTTCGTGATGGCTCAGCTCCACGTGTTACCCGTGTTGTTACCTTGTGTGATCTCCCTGAAGCGCTCCTCCGCCTCTGCGCTCTTGTTCTTGTCCGGATGATATTTCAGCGCCAGAGAGCGGAAAGCTTTCTTGATCTGGCTCTGTGTGGCGGTGGGCTCCACGTTTAGGGCATCGTAGAAGTTTCTTTGTGCATGAATGGATCCGCTCGCCAATGCGCACGACAGGCACAACAGAGCAAGCACGCACGCATGCATTTTCATCCGGTCAGCTGCACGCAAACACTACACAACTCTCCCTATAAACGTAAATTAAAACAGGTTTTTAGTTCTTGTTGTCTTATTTTTCCGGTTCAACAACTTTGTGCAATGTGCGTAGTTTGTTTAGGAAAGTGAGTGAGTCATTACGCGATCAGCTAACAAAGCTCAACAGCTGCTACTTTATATGCAAATTTGTAAGATATATATATATATATATATACACATACATATATATACATTTGTTAGATATAGATATATATACCTAAAACATGCTACATACGTTTCCAAGAACAGTTGATAGTTAAGGTCAGTTAAATACAATCAATCAATGAATCTGCCACAGGGACTACAGGTGGAAATTAGCACTGATGCTACAACCTGGTACAATGCATCTCTCCTGTTAAGGTTAATGTAAAAAAATGTGCGCTGTCTCTGTCTCAAATAAATAAATAAATAAATAGTTTAAATAGTAAGTTTTGCAGGGGAAAAAATATAGCCTTAATCCTGTTTATAGCAAACAAACAAACAAAAAAAACACTCTTTATAATCCGTCTATATATTTTTGTTGTGAGCGTTTTTTTGTTTTTGTTTTTTTTATTTATTTTGTTTGTTTGTTTGTTTTTTAATTAAATTAGATTTTTCTGGCTAGATAAAGATTAAGCAGGTTTTTAAATACTTATTATTTTTCTCACATATAATTTTTCACTTTTGTAAAGAGCAATTCGGCTTTGTTCTTTTCCTCTTCCATATATATTTGTATGTATTACTATTTTATTAATTTATTTATTACAGTTTTAAAGATGTTATGTATATTTTCTTCTTTTTTTTTCTTTACACAATTATTTTTCACCCTTTTAAATTAACTAAATATATATGAATTTTTTTTTTCAATTTTATTTTAGATGTGAAAAACGTCCAGATAGAATGGCCACTAGAGGGCAATGTGGACGAGGAGCGTCTTCTTCCATCATGGACGTCTCGCCAAGGGAAATGTGACAACAACAAACAGCTAAAGGCCTTGAAAAAACATCGTAATAGTGCATGTGCGTAGGCTATTACCTGGGTTATTTCTACGGGAACAAGTTGGAGATATTCCGTGATTTTGTCCCTCACCCTGTCGCTGTTTTTTATCCCGCTGCTTGTACTCGGTAAGACAATATTAGCATTTAGCATCTGTGTAGCTTCGGGTTATAGCTAGCATGCTAACATCAGTCATATGAGCGCTGCAGGTGTTTTAATGTGAACATGATTTACCCAGGTTATAATGTCGGGGTTGCAGTTTTATTTAGTACGTTATTAAAATGACAAACGTCTAATCTGTTTTTCTACGGCTTATAATTATTTTTCGACCACGTGCTATTGTTTACATGCCTGTATTTCGTTTTGCAAAGTGTATTTACACCATCAACAAGCTGATTAAACATTACATTTACTAGTTTTACTATTCCAAATGCGTGCAAATGTTTGAGATAAATTGTAAGTAAATCAAAATCTCACTGTTCAAATCTTAATATTATTCTGTGCGTTCTTAGGCACCATTAGAAAACTACAATGGGCACCGTTAAACAAACTATGATGTAAAGCTCATAGACGGACTATGAGCTTTACATCCTCAGATACCTCATTACTCAACCCGAGGAAAATTCTTCTTTTTCGTTTTTTTAAATCCCCTGATGACTGTTTAGGAGAGTTTTTAACTGTTAACATTTACAAGGTTAAAGAATCCGTGTATCATTCGTTCATTCGTTTTTCAATATAAAACCAAAAATAAGAAAACGAAAAAACAACAGTTTTCTTCGTTATTTGTCTCCAAAACCAAAATGAAAAAACGGATAACGATTCGTTTTTTCAGTTTTCGATTTTGTGTTTAAATGAAGAATGGAAAAAACGGATAACGGCCGTTTCCCGTTTACGTGACTACCGTGACTGCGATGCCGGACTTTTGCACCGCGTACGGACTGAACTAGGACTGATCCAGGTCCGAGACCAGACCGAGACCAGAGCGGGACTGAGACCGGGACCAGAGCGGGACTGAGACCGGGACCAGACCGGGACCAGGGCGGACTCCGAGCTTTGACTCCGGGCCTCCACGGGGTCCGAGCCTCAGCTTCGAGCTCCGGCCCTGCCGTGGGCTCTGAGCCTCCGGTCTGGTCCCGGTCTGGTCCTGGTCTTGTCTCGGTCTCAGGCCCGCTCTGGTCCCGGTCTGGTCCCAGCCTTAGTAGCGCTCTGGTCCCGGTCTGGTCCCGGACCTGGTCCATTTGAACCAAAAGCTCTTAGTTCGATTCATTTTCATTGGTGTGAATGCGTCAGTCGGAGGCTTTGCACCACCTCGGAACCAGACGTGGTTCTTGAGCGCGGAGGACCAGAGCAGCTCTGTCCCGGTCTCAGTCCTGCTCTGGTCTCGGTCTGGTCTCGGACCTGGATCCGTCCTGATTCAGTCCGTATGCGGTGAGACTGGGACCAGACCGGGACCAGACCGGAGGCTCAGAGCCCACGGCAGGGCCGGAGCTCGAAGCTGAGGCTCGGACCCCGTGGAGGCCCGGAGTCAAAGCTCGGAGTCCGCCTGGTCCCGGTCTGGTCCGGTCTGATCCCGCTCTGGTCCCGCTCTGGTCCCGGTCTGGTCCCGGTCTGGTCCCGCTCTGGTCCCGGTCTCAGTCCCGCTCTGGTCTCGGACCTGGATCAGTCCTAGTTCAGTCCGTACGCGGTGCAAAAGTCCGGCATCGCAGTCACTGAAGTCACGTAAACGGGAAACGGCCGTTATCGGTTTTTTCCATTCTTCATTTAAACACAAAATCGAAAACTGAAAAAACGAATCGTTATCTGTTTTTTCATTTTGGTTTTGGAGACAAATAACGAAGAAAACTGTTGTTTTTTCGTTTTCTTATTTTTGGTTTTATATTGAAAAACGAATGAACGAATGATACACGGATTTTAAAGCTACAGCATGTGATTTTCTGGATGTGGCACGTCTCCCCCATGATTACATGGAAACAGAGTTAAAATCACATTTTAAAACATTCATGTTTTATGCCATACTGTGGAATATTGTAGCCAATATTTCCTTGGAAACAAACAAACAGGAGGAGGCCCTTCTCCCCTTCAGGAGCTCCTCAGGCTCCTACAACTCCGCTTAAACAGTGAGAGATACAGGACAACATTCATACCATACTGCATACAGCTGTACAACAACTCACTTTAATGTAACAGATAACCCTATGTCCTGTCAATCATCATCATTGTTACAAAGTCTTCCTATAACCTTTTGCATAAAGCTGTGTTTTTATATTTTATTACTTATTACTTATCTTTCTATTTTATTTTGAGTTGTACATTTACATTTTTATAATTATGTCTAATTTGGCACCTGTCTCTTGCTCTTTTTTGCTACTTATGTAGAATTTATTATTACCATTTATATTTTTACTCTTTGTTATTATATTATATTGTGATGTGTGAGCTACTGTGTCCAAATCATTTCCCTTGTGGATCAATAAAGTTTGTCTAAGTCAAAGTCTCCTCTGGGCCATTTAAGAGTCAGGTTGGTGGAGATGCTCACACAGTTAGGACACATGTTAAAACAACCCCAAAAAACATGCTTTTATATTAATTTGTTTTGACTAAAAACTGACATACTCTGGCTTTAAGAATAAAATTGAAAGTCTAATTTCTTCACTAAAACAGAGCAAAGGGTTTTGAGTAAGTTTGAATAACTTTTTTTAGCGTGCTTCTGCAACACTTGCTATTTAACTTATCTCATCTTCTCATTTTAAGTAAAAAAAAAAAAAGGCTGCATTATTAATTCCTCATTTTTTATAATATTTTTCTTTCCCTTAGGTCCTGCCCACGCCTCCCGATGAGTGCTGATTCCTCCCGGTGCCGGTCGGAGCGCTATGCCTGACCGGGACAGCTCCTACCTGTCTGGCGGCAGCAGCGGGGGGACTCTGGGCGACGAGGGGGGTCCTGTGTCGGGGACGGGGGGGTCCGGACCAGCCACGGGCTCTGGGGGATGGGGGGTGGAGGGGCGCTAGGCAACGGGAACAACTGTAGCAATGGAGAAAGCAGAGGCCAAAGCACCGGGCAAGGACTGGACGGAGTTTGTAGAGACTTCATAAGGAATGTTTGCAAGAGGGGTAAACGCTGTCGATTCAGGCATCCCGAAATCAATAAAGTAACCGATTTGGGCGTGCAGAAAAATGAGTTTATTTTCTGCCACGATCATCAAAATAAGGAATGTCTTCGCTCAAACTGCCGCTTCGTCCACGGCTCAAAAGATGACGAAGATTACTATAAGAAAACAGGAGAATTGCCTCCGAGATTGAGAGGCAAAGTAGCGGCCCGGCTTGGTTTGTCCCCTATGGATCTCCCCCATAGCCGTGGCGAAGTCCCTATTTGCAGAGACTTTCTGAAAGGAGAGTGCCAAAGGGGAAACAAGTGTAAATTTCGCCACGTTAAAAAGGACTTTGAGTACGATACAAGCAGAGTAGGGGGCGCCATTGGGTCCGCCGCTAGTATGATGGTGAATGGCGTTGGTGGGATGGGAGGAGTCGGAGGCGGGACTTATGGCGGAATGCAGGGATTGGTTGGAGGAAGTGCCAATAACATAATGGGAATGGGGTGTGCAAGTATGGGTGGATGCAGGGACCCGGCTATGTCAGGAGTTGGTGTAAGTGGAGGAGGCATGAGTGGGTGTTTGTCATTAAGTTCATCAGGACAAAGACGATACGATAGAAGCTCTGTGTATGACCCGCTATTAGAAAGTAGCCTGTTTGATGCTGGTTCGTTGGAGGCTTCGATGGACCATGCGACTCTGCAGATAAAGAGGAGGAGGTTGGATGGGTTGAGGCTGAGCGATGGGACCAGCGGGGGGCACTATGACCTGGGGGTGCAGGCCGCGTTACAGCCGAGGCCTCTGGAGTACAGGTTTCTGGAGGAGGAGAATGCTCTGCTGAGGAAGAGAGTGGAGGAGCTCAAGAAACAGGTATGTCTAGAAACAGATGTTCAGTGTGTTTAATAGGAATATGTATAGATATATTTTTTACTTAAATAATATGCATAACATAACACACTTAATTACAGTGACTGACAGTGTCAAAAACAGCACTCGGATCTAACAGGATCAAGACTGAGACTTTGCCTGCATCAGTGTTCAGGCAGATGGCATTTGATAAGAGCAGTCTCAATGCTCTGGCTCTAAAACCTGACTGGAAAACATCTAAGGAGTTGTTCAGTTGGAGAAGGTAAGCTGTCGGTAAACAGCTTTTCCAAGGATCATCAAGGAGCATCAAGACTGCTCTCCTTTTGGAGAGGCTTGATGACTGCAGTTTTCAAAGCTCTTGGGAATGTTCCAGATTGAAGTGACTTGTTAACTATGTGAGCGAGTGGTGACGGCAAACTGTTGACGACAGACTTTAGAAATCTAGCGGGTAACATATGGAGGCAGCAAGTAGATGAACTCAGACTGGAGACGATCTCTAGCGCAGTTTTGTTAGTTACAGGTGCAAAGTGAGGTCAGCTGTGACAGGGTTGTTATTTGTGAAGCCAGGGTTATAGCGCACGCAGTACTTAAAATTTAGGGGTTCTTTATTTCTCTTTCCTTCATACTAGTTCAGAAACAGAACCAGTGGGCATTATTACAGCATTATCACTAATGTAAAGGTACACAAAACAAACAGCAGTGGCACCTCTGAGAGAGGATAAAAATAAACGCATTCCACTATTAATTCATAGAACGCATTTCCTTACCAATATGGTTGAGTTTGAACTTATGTGGCCTAAACAGATCTTTCTCCAGCAAAATACAGAACTTTTCTGATGCTTTCTTAAGCGCAAGTGTGCAAGACTTATTATCTTTCAAAGTTCACATAAAGGGATACAGCACTACAGCACCACTGTGTGGGAAAAACAGGTATTACAATGAACAAACAAAAAAATGAACAAAAATACAAACAATACAATTATTATCTACCCTTTTTCACATGTACCCCATTTTTCACCTGGTTACATTTGCACTGTGAAAGTGATGGCATTTTGAATGCCCTGAACCATGTCATTAAAGAATACGGCAAAGTGCAAACTTATTGCACATCGATGTGGAAATTTGTTCTAATGGTAATGGAGCTGGAATGTGATGTAATCATTTATAAAAGTATTAATGTAATGTATGAATACATATTAACTTAGCGTTGCATTTCTTTCTTTTTATGAGTCTAGGAAAAATGTCTTTTACAGTTTTCATTTCCCTGTAGTTGATTCAAAAAACAAAGGCCGAGGGCTCTCAAATCATTTTATAGTATTTTTTATATTGCTTTAAAATGGATACTACGGATTAGGGCCAAAATACTAACTGTGTTTTAAACATGTCTCTATTTTTTTCCCTCAGGTCTCAAACCTCATTGCCACCAATGAAGTCCTTCTGGAGCAGAATGCCCAGTTTCGCAGCCAGGCCAAAGTCATGACCCTCTCTTCCACCCCGGCCCCCTCAGAGCAGAGCATGGCACCCCCTGTTGGCGCTGTGAGCTCCTACAACCACAGCATCGCTCAGACCCACACCACTCTGAGCAGCGCCGGACTCCAACCGCGCCCGGTCACCCAACAAGACCTGGTAGCTCCCACGGGTGCTCCGACGGCCCCACCCACAAATGCAGCTCCGCCCACCGCCCCTCCCCCTCACATGAATCCAGAGATCACGCCCATGTCTGCTGCTCTGGCTCAGACCATCGCACAGGGCATGGCTCCTCCCGTCTCCATGGCGCAAGTAGCCGTTTCCATAGCACCCGTAGCCGTGTCGATGACCCAGGCTCTTCCAGGTATCACCATGAGTCACGCCACGACCCCCATGGTGTCCTACCCCATCGCCAGCCAGAGCATGAGGATAACCACTCTGCCACACTGACACTGAAACAGTCAGTGTGGATTTTAGTGTGAGAATTATCGTTTTATCTATAGTTTTTCTTAATGACTGGCTCATTTGGTGACTCAGGAAATTACAATGGCTGTAATTACTCAGCTAATAGTCTGTCCTCTGCAATAGGTCTACAAGATCAATCAGAAACAAATTGAAATTGCAGTTCGAATGGACGCTATTAACAAACCGTCAAGGCTGCAGTTTTAGAAGCGCTATCATTTCCCCCACAGGCAACAAACACCTAATTCTGCATAAAAACTGCTAACCCTGCAGTTTAGATCTGTGCAAACATGTTCTGATGTTCAAGTTCATATTTCAGTCTTTCTGTCAATTCTCCTAGACATGTTTAAAATGTGAACTTTGAACAAAATCCTATTATTAAAACAAAAATAAAGCTCTAATCTTATCACAACGCTTATCAGAAAATTCACAATTAAAGATTTTTCCCAAACTGTTCAACAGAAACAACAATACAAACAACAAAATATCTTCTAAAGTGGTTCATTCTGATTTGAAAACATATATTGGGCAAATTGAATCCTTATTTCAATCCCAATACTTATTTGCAAAAATCATCATTCATTTTTCATTTCATAGTGGGTTTGTTTGATCATAGATTTTATTTTATATGTTTTCTGGTTTGTGTGATAAGGTAAAAGTGGGATGTTATGCAGTCTTTCTGTCATGTCAATTCTATAATTACTGATTACTTGGTCTAATTATGTTACATACTTTAAATGGTTTCACAAAATGAGTCAAAGTCATTGGAAAAACTCTGAAATCGGTGGATCAACATGGATACAACTTGAAACAAAAATCTACTTTTCACGTTTGGCCTCTAGAGGGCAGCAGGAGAACACACAAAACCTCCTCGTTGATGTTAGATTTGAAGGAGCGAACTTTTCCCAGCCATGGACACAGTTGTTGGCAGAAGTCTGTGTACCAAAGGGAATTTAAATGACAATAAACGTGAATGAAAACTTTTAACTGAAGAACCTGCTTTTCTCTAGTGAACTGTGTACAAATAAAGACTGAACACTTCAGTTGTGTTTAAAATATAGTTTGTTTTTTGGTACATTGTGCTTTGCCAAAAAAAACTAAACTATCTAATTACAGTCTTGTGTCTTTTCCAGTTAATTTAAAGGAACCATATGTACGATTTTGATTTCACGTTTCATAAACATGTCCAAAGTTTCTGTTCAATTGTGTTCAAATATAGGTTTTACTGTTAACAATTGTAATGCTGATTCATTCCTGATTACAAAACAAATGTGCATGTTCAAGATGATAATCCACTCAGAAAGCAGAATGAGTGTCATTCATGTGCTCAGTGCTGAAATCCAGTTTGTTTAATAACTGCAAGAGGCTGCACACATTTCCTTTGAGCCCATTTGCAATTTACACAATGAAAGGTTAAAAAAAAATGGTCAATGAACTGAACCTGAAATGCAATGACAGAAATGCGAAGAAAGAAATGTATTCTTCAAATTGCCAGATACAAAAGTTTAAGTAAAAATAAACATAATTGCAGTACATTCTGAAGGTGTCATTCCAAGCAGATGACACTGCAAAAACTACTACTAAGTACCTTACTTTACTAACTGCATTACTACTGTAACTGATGATTTACAGTGGAGAAATGTACTCTCTCAGGCACCTCTAAATACAATACAATACAGACTGCAGGAAAAGTGTACATGCTATTCAGATATTATAGATACATATGGTTTATTTTAAAATATGTGTGAGAAATAACGTTTTAACAAAAAGTAAAACTACTTAGAAAATAGGACAAATGCACCCTTTATACATTTCTGTTAATACATTTTGATCAAGCATAGTCTTTGTATTACACTCTTCACTACTGCTGACATCTGCTTGTCTAGCCTGAGTACACACAGCTGTTTACATGGATTGGTTGGGTGGAGTAACATTGTGTAAACTTGTATTTAAACCCTTTTTCTACTTCAATGAAACAGTATCCGGGTAACATGGAAGTGTTCACGCTTGTCCTGGTTTGGTTTGGTCCTGGTTTAGTCTCAGTTTAGTCCCCAAGTGTGGAGGCACCCGAAGAATCCTGTTAGCTAAACAATTTATAGCATGTAGTGGCACCATTTACACATGTGGCACTTGGCTCGATTGGAGCAACGTACGTAATTTGCGTATTATTCAAAGCAGATAATATACTGCAATGGTTTTGAACATGCATGGGCTCTGTAAGTAAGATTGCTCCCCCTTTTTAGATCAGATAATAAAGAAGATAGTGCACTGTCATAGCACGTGTACCATCCAAGCGTGACCGCAGCATTAAGAAAAACGAGTTTGGACTGCGTACATTGGTTAGATTGGCTTGGGAATTAAACGGTTTACTCTAATAGTGATGTTAGCAAAATTGTGACTTAATCATCAAGTTTTAAGTTATTTTAGTCTCGTTAAAATGTAAAAAAAAAAAAAAAAAAAAAAAAAAGGCAAACATAATAGTTAAAAGACAGGATGCAAAGTCATAGCACGAGCCTGACTGCAGCGTCGAAAGAGTCAATGGGGCATAATTTGTTCCAGGGGGCGTGTTTTTGTTTCACATAACGGGACTGGCTCGGGGGCACTGCTGGTGGTGCGTTCTTCTTCCTCTCCAGCCAGACAGCAGTACTCATTACATTACAGTTCCACGTTTAACAACCCGAATTTGCCGTTTCGTGCAAGAAAAACGATGCTTTAAAGACAATACGTGGATAGCGCAACGGTTACGCACTCGGTAGGTCGGTTCGGGACGGTTTAGGAATGATAGCAAGTTTACTCAAGTAATCGTGACTGTAAAATCGCACTTGTTACAGAAGTTTAGGTTAATTTAGTCGATCTTAACATGGAAAACGGCGAGAAACAGGAGCAAGGCGAGGAGAAGAGCGTGCAAGAGCGGCCAAGCGCGGATGACACTGCGAAGAAAGCGCTAAGTATCGAAGAACCTCCAAAAGCGAAGGGGATCAGCGCAGTGGCCGTGCTATGGACCTTCGGGAAGTGTTTGGGTGCCCTGTTACCCGTGTACCTGGCCGGGTATTACCGGGTGAGCACGAGCTTGTTGGTGTGCGGGATGATGGTGTACACGGGCTGGAAACACGCCAGAGAGGCGAAGGAGGCGCGGCTCAGGTCGGCGATACAGCTGCTCAATGACGACGATGAAGTGATGAGCACCAGAGTGAGCAGAATCAAGAGAGAGCTACCAGCGTGGGTAAGATGGCACGATGTTTCCTATGCTAAAGAGAAACACAGAAGCACAATGTATTTAAACGTGTTTATTTTATTTTTGTATTATTCATAGTGACAAAAATCTGCAGTACAGACATCAACAAAACATAAGTATGAACATATATACAAATACCACCAGAGAATGGAACAAATCACAACCCAAAAGAAGACAAAACACACACACACACACAAGTATCCTGCCAGGACAAAAGTAGGCCTATGCATTTATCAAGTCAATCTATTGATCCAAAGTCATTTATGCTACAGAAAGGTTTAGTTTTTATCCCCCATTCTGATCATTCTGAAAACCCATGGATATAACTTTACACCAGCACAAATGATGAATACAACGTTACTTAAAAAACATGCGGCATACAATAAAACTATATTATGAAAAATGACACTCCTTATAGTTAAGTAGGTTACAGTATTTCCTTTATATGGTTAGATTTGGGCATTAAAACAGCTTATACAATTGCCTGTTTGTCTAGTAGTCCATTGTTCCCAGAGTACATTTCAAGCTGAATGAGAAGTGAATTAACTAGTCATAAGTGTTGGGAGTAAGTAAATACTATTCTTGCTTTTTTGAGTAACTGTATTCCAGTATAGTTACTTTCTTCATTTGGTGGTACTTTTTAAAAATTGAAGGCAAGGCTACTTGGCGATATTTGAAAAAAGCAAACTCATTTCTTGCATTGTGTTTGAGTGCAATTTTTTCATCTCTAATTAGATATAAATCAAAGCATAACAAACAGTGCAGTGCAACAAAAATGTAAAAGTAACTCATGTAGCATTCAGAATACAGTACTTTGATTGGCGCATGTAACAGAATACATTACAAAATACACATTAATGCAGGTATTCCATATTCTGTGACTAAATACATCATCTAAATAGCCTAATAATTACCATGTAGTAGTCAGGGTGGGACGAGGCACAATTTCCACCAGACCTACGAGACAGTGTGATATTTTAACCTTATTTACTGCGAATAAATTGTGCAATCTTGTCACCATTGTCTCACCATTTTTGATTTTACTTTATTTAATATTTTTCCTGTTGCACTGCTTTTTATGACTACAGCTTCTCAAAAAATTTATCTCATCAGTTCTTTTTATCCAATCCAAACTTAAAAATGTAGGAAAAATCTCACAAGATCATTTTCAGCACAATCCTGTGGCAATTTTGTCTTGTGAG